GCTACACATTTTAAATGAGAATAAGAAAGAAATGTATGTCTTTGTGCCCCCTTTTCCCTGTTAATGCCCTATCGGCCCCCCTGGCTAAACCTTGCTAGATCCGCCCCTGCACAGTTACCAGCCATCAGCTACGTAGAAAAAGATCCTGGTGTAGAAAGTAATATTAAATAAATTCTAACAACAGCTTATCAAGCTTAAACGTGCTGCTGTTGTTCAGCCGCTGGTTTCCTCTTTCTGGTGCAAAGTGGGCGATAAACAAACAAGAGAGACTCGCGACAGAAACGCCGATCAGCTGATCATTAAGCAGTTTCATGATTGAAGTAGCAGCAGGAGAGAGAGGGGGAGAGAAGAGGCAGTCGCTCCATATATCGGTTGTTAAGCTTAATGTGGGAATGCTTTACAAACATTCAGAGATGAACTTACACACTTGCTTTACTTCTCTCTGGGATAACTTCCTCGGAGATGAAATGCTGGTTTGGTAGCGAGGCTACAAATACACACAGCCGCTCTATCACGTGAGCACACTGCTCCAACGTGCTACGGTTATGAGCCAAGTTACGCCGTGTCGCAAGTTTTGGAAGGTGCTTTTTTGATATTTAATGGATCGGATTACATTTTTTATTTCTCTCCGATATCCTATCCAGTAATTTACGTCAGTATCGGACCGATACCGATACGTAATATCGGATCCGTCCATCTCTAGTCTGTATTGAATGCTACAGACCAATGGATTTCTGGTTCTTTCGCGTTTGGTTTTGTGATGTTTAAGGATGGGTATCGAAACCCGATTCTTGTTGAGAACCGGTTCCCACTGTTTCAATTCCTTGGAATTGTTTGCCATTTTTGCAAACGATTCCCTTATTGATTCCAGTCGCCCCGAATGTCGTCACCACGTTGCAGAGCGTCATTTACCTGGCAGGAAACATGGCGGCTCAAACGCTCAAAAGTTTGATTATACTTTACGAGAACGGATGACAACAGGGCAACTTGCAATACTTGCAAAGTAGATATTTCATTTAAGGGAGGAAACACTACGAATATGCAAAAGCATTTGCTCACAAAACACACGATGACCTTAAATGAATGTCGTGTTTTTAATTCCGCTCCGGACTCGCGAATCTCAACCCAGCAGCAGCGGTAACGTTTGCACGTCCTCTCCCGTTAATGCGGCAGGTAAATAATCAACTAACAGTGCATATTATGTTAGTGCAATCTGCCTTATTACAAACCTGCCATTACTGTGCATTTAGGTGACCATGATGAGAGAGACAGAGTCTGGCTCAGATGCTGGCAGTTCTCGCTGCAGTCTACCGGTAGCGTCTCCTTTCAGGCCAGGATAGACAAATGTCACCGAGCAGTGACTAAGTTTGTGGTAAAAGGCTTGCACCCATTTGCCACAGCAGATGCCCCGATTTTCAGTAAGTGAATGTGTTTAATTGTAGGCAGGGACATTACTGGATATTCTTGTGTAATTGCTACAGAATAATTTATGTTATACGTTGTTATTGCTACAGAAGAATATTTATTTTATTATTTTACATTTACAATTTTTTTCCCCGGGGACCCTGTGACGCCCCATTGAAGAGCCGTAGGCTGTGGATCTCTTAAGATCACACTGTTGGGTTTGTAAGGCCATGTTACTCCTAAATTTCTATCTTGTTCAAAGAGAAGACATAAAACAAAGTTCTAAGGTAATCAACCTTAGTGTTAAAAAAAGAATTGATAAGAGAATCGATAAAGAATCGAATCGTTAAACAGAATCGAAAATGGAATCGGAATTGTGAAAATCTTATCAATACCCATCCCTAGTGATGTTGTTGTTTGTTTTCATGTTGCATTGTTTTGTACAGACTTATTGTTACTGACCACTGTGATGTTTCATCTTACTGGCCTTAAGGATAGCCGTATGGATCAACTGGAATTTCTTTTGGAAGACTCTTTAAAATAATTTGGCTCATGTGGCTTAATGAAGTTATGTAAAATAGTGTCATGGATTATAGCGGGTTGTCATAATGCTATTAAAAAGAAGAAAGTCCTCACATATTAGAAACAGAAAAAGGCAGACATAGCTTTAATTCAAGAGACCCCTGATGAGGTGGATTCATTAAAGTTTAAAAAAGACTGAGTGGCCCAAGTATACCTTAGTGCATTTTTCAGTAGGAAAAGTTGGGTAGTCATATTGATGAGAAGAAATTTTGATTTTCAGGTACTCAAGCATTATGCCGATCAGGAGGGTAGATGAGTGGTCTTAGATGCATGTCTACAGGGGCAGAAAGTGATGTTGGTCAACATATATGCCCCCAATTCTCCTCAACCACGATTTTTTCACATAGTGTGTAGCACAGTGCGGAATATTGGAAATGCAAATATTGTAATTGGGGGGGGGGGATTTTAACAAGATCAGGGATGTGTTTTTGGATAAATCCTCCCGACCTAGACCAAGTAAGGACCATTGCCGTGGACGCTGTGTCAGAGGAACTAAGCGTGGTGGATATATGGAGACTTCTCCATCCTCAAGAAAGAGACTATACTTTCTTTTCCCATCATCACTCTACCTACTCCAGGATAGGCTACTTTCTGGTGTCTCACTCTCAGGTGAGTCAAATTGTCGGGTCCTCCACTGGTAATATTGCAGTAACTGATCATGCTCCCATTGACCTTATTCTTTTTAGTAATTATAATGTCAAACCCTCACCTAGGTGGCGTCTAATAGTGGTGTGCGACAGAGGCGGAGGCAGACGTTTGATACACCCGAGGCTTAGCCTTAAATGGTAGTATGCATGTGTGATTTGGGGGGTGGATTAATGAAAAGAAAAGAAAGATTAATAGGCTCTGTTTTGACTTTTGTTCAAAAAAGAATGACTTCATATAGGGAAAAATATATATCACATATGCGGGACACCTTAAACTAGTTTTTTAATTAAGAAGTTCGTGACTGCTGTGCTTGAATCATCACAGAAACCTGGCTTCACCCGGGAATACCTGATGCAAGTGTTCAGCTAGCAGGCCGCACTCTGTTCCGCTGGGACAGGACAAAAGACTCCGATAAGAGCAGAGGAGGGGGGTCTCTGTATTTAGGTGTATGAAAGCTGGTGCAACAACGGGACAATTGTAAAAAGTCACTGCTCCCCGAACCTTGAGTACATGTCAGTAAGATGCTGGCCTTTTTATCTACTGAGAGAGCTAACAGTAGTGATCGTCACGGCTGTGTACATTCCACCCGATGCCAACGTAAACAAGGCACTCTCTATCCAGCTGAACAACATTAATGAACACCAGCGGGCCCACCCGGACAGTGTTCACATAATTGCAGGTGACGTTAATAAGGCTGACATGAAGACTGTACTCCCAAAGTTCTATCAGCATGTCAAATGTCCCACCAGAGGAGAAAACACTCTAGATCATGTTTACTCCAACATCAAGCATGCATATAGAGCCATACCCCTCCCCCACCTCGGTCAGTCCGACCACCTCTCTCTCCTGCTCTCCCCAGCCTACACCCCCCCTCAGTCGCACAGCCAGGCCCACCACAAAGACTGTTACAACCTGGCCTGAAAATGCGCTCACCAAACTGCAGGACTGCTTCACACAGACAGACTGGGGCATATTTGAGCACCAGGACCTAGAAACTTTCACAGGATCAGTATTGGACTCTATCAAGTTCTGTATTGTGAATGTGACTGTGGACAAAAGCATTCAGGTTTTCCCACACCAAAAACCCTGGATGACCAGCGAGGTCCGCTCACTCCTCAGAGCCTGTGATGCCACCTTCAGGTCAGGTGACAGAGCTCTGTACAGGGCTGCTCGAGCTGACCTGAAAAGGGGAATTAAAAAAACCAAGTCAGACCATAAAGGAAGCATAGAGTCCCACCTGTCCAGCAACAACACACAAGAGGTTTGGCAGGGCATACAAGACGTCACAAACCACAGAGGTTGCACTGTGAAAGCAGAAAACCTGAGTGTGCAACTAGCAGAGGAAATAAACAGCTTCTTCCCCCGCTGTCAAACAACACAACAGCAGCACTTATGTGCTTCAGCCCTGCTCCCATCCTCATCCTCACATGGCTCCTGCACCGCTCCATTCACTGTAACGGAACACGATGTCAGATGTGCTCCTAGCAGTGAACCCAGGAAGGCGGCCGGTCCAGACGGAATACCAGCCAAGGTGCTAAGAGCATGTGCCCACCAGTACACCCTCATCTTCACCAGACTCTTCAACATCTCACTGGATCAGACAGCCATCTCATCCTGTCTAAAATCATGGTAAATGGTAAATGGACTGGTTCTTATATAACGCTTTTCTACTCTGTCTGAGCACTCAAAGCGCTTGAATCAGCCACAATCATCCCAGTGCCGAAGTCTCCCATCTCCAGCCTGAACGATTACCGCCCTGTGGCCCTCACACCGGTAATCATGAAATGATTTGAGAGACTAGTCCTTCAGCACATCAAGGATTACCTTCCCCCAGAATTCGAACCCCTACCAGTTGGCATACCGCAAAAACAGATCCACAGAAGACGCCATCGCCACAGCCCTCCACTCTGTGCCGAGTCACCTAAAACAGCAGCAAAGCTACGTCCGAATGCTATTTATGGACTACAGCTTAGCCTTCAACACAATCATCCCGGACATCCTCATCACCAAACTGGTAACTGTTGGTCTCCCTCCTCTCACATGCGCCTTGGACTTTCTCACAAACCAGACTGTAAGACTCGGCCCTCATCTCCACCCCACTCCCGCACTGAGCACCGGCTCCACACAGGGCTGTGTGCTGAGCCCCCTCCTGCATTCTCTCTACATCCACGACTGCAGTTTGACCCACAACAACAATCTCATCATCAAGTTTGCTGATGACACCACAATAGTCACACTCATCTCAAAGAGAGACGAGGAAGACTACAGAGAGGAAGTCATCTTGTAGTTTCTGACACTTTGCATGTTTAGCATGAGGCTAAAATTCCCCCTCAGTGGGTCACTGGTGACCTGCTGGATGTTCAGAGGTTCATTAAATCCAACATGACTAAAAACTCAAATGTCAAAGGAAATAAACAAAATATTTAAAGTCAATCATTCTGATCATAATTGTACTTTGACCTTTAACCTCTCTGCTCTGTGTTGTTTCCTCTTTCAGATCCAAAAATCCTCAAGTCTGAGCCTGGAGCTGAGGTCACTCTGACATGTCGAGCTGCAAACAACAACATCAGAGTTTTAAAGTGGAGCAGAGACCTTATGCCAGAATATGTGCTTTTGTACCAACATGGGCGTCTTGATTCAACCAACCAGCATCCATCTTTTAAGAACCGGGTGGATCTGCAGGACAGACAGATGAAGGATGGAGACGTGTCTTTGATTCTGAGGAATGTGACGACTGATGACACTGGAACATACAAGTGTCGTGTCTTCATGAGTGAAACTCGCTCATGGGAGGTCATCAGCAGCATCTACCTTATTGTTGATCCTCCAGGTGAGTGAGTAGAGTTGAGTGTGTGTGTGATCAGAGGTGAAGCTGCTTCCTAGTTGTTGATGTTTGTTTGTTGTATGGATGAGCTGGTGGATGTCAGAGGTAGACAGATGTTTCTCCAGCTGTTGTCTTTGTGGCTGGTAGTCTAGAGTTGTAGAGCAGCATTGTTTGGTTAGAGCAGAAACAAAGACATTTATGAATCCGTCTCTTCTTCTCTTGCTCTCTAACTCGTCTGTAAACATGTGTGGGGAAACTCAGTGTTAAAGCCTACAGCTGGAGGGGGAGGGGAGGGGTGGAGCTGGTGCTTGTGAGTCTGTGAAAGTGAATCCTGCCGCTGCCATAGCTGGTGAAAACGTACTTAGTGCAGACACAAAACGTCCATCAGCTTCAAAGTGTGTCAGAAAAATGTCCACATGGTGACTGATGGATGAGAGAGGTCCCATTGTTGTTGTTGTGCACAAATCATTGAACAACACAAACACTTAGAGCTGCTTTCAGTGCTGCCTGTTTTGTTACTGCACACATTTCTGATGGTCCTACAGTCCAACGTAGCAAACGTCTCCCTGAAGCCTCTTCTTAGAGACCAAAGGTTGGATCAGAGCGAGCAGCTGAAAGGACACATCTATGAATGCAGTCAGAGACTTTCTCACAACCTCACACTTCATCTGATCACATTTACACTCAGGTTTAATCTGAAAGTTGGATCAGATGAACACACAGAAGATAACAAAATCAAATGTGGTACTCTGCTTTAGAAATCAAACAGTGATTTTCGCCCCCCCGCGCGCGCGGACACGTACGCACTAACACATCCTCCAACCACATTTAGTAAACAATTAAGCAAATGCAAGTAATCTGCAGGTAGTAAGAAAAAAAAAACCTACTAACTCTTTTACGCTACGTCCGCACCTACATGGATATTTTTGAAAACGCAGCTGTTTCGTCCACACGTAAACGGCGTTTCGAATCACTGAAAACTGAGATTTTTTAAAACTCCTTTTTTGCGTTTACGTGTGGACGAGGAATACAGAGTTCGTCACGCAAAGTCAAAGGTATGTGGCTATTTTCACGTAACGCTGTGCGCCACGTTATTGTTTACATGAGATGAATTGCAGAATGGCAGACAAAATACTGTTAATCTGACTGTCTGCAGGTTTTACACGCAGTTACTGTCCCTCCATTTTGAAAGGCAGAGGTGTTACGATGTGATTATTTTTTGTGTAGTTTTTTTTGTTTTTGTTTTAGTGTCAGGGTTACAATTAGGTTATGGTTAGGTTTAGGGTAAGGGGCCAGGGAGAGCATTATGTCAATGAAGGTCCTCACTAAGATAGCTGAACGTGTGTGTGTGTGTGTGTGTGAAAAAGATTTACACAAGTTACACAGCAAAATAAAAAAAATTAAAAACTGTGTGTAAACCTCTGCGCTCAAGTTCCCTAGCTGTGTGTGAGCTCCTTTCAGCTCACTAGTCAGTGTCATGTCATTCACAAATTTAATCAGAGAACAGTTTGGCTGTCGGAGGGGCGCTTTACTGAGCTTCAGGTCTCACAGATCTGCAGTCAAACAGGTCAAATTACATAGAACATGAACCCAACATGACCTCTGACCCTGAAGGAGCTGTCAGACCTGTTAAGTTGTATTTTTTTTTTTTTTCATTTTTATACATTTTAATTTTTTTATAGCAAAAACAAGATGGAGACTCCAGTCTTGGTCAGATCCTGTGTTTCTTGTTTTATAATTAAACGCACAGTAAAATCCATATATATAAATACAGTAATTATACATATTGTTAATTTTTTTTTAACCTAATCTCCTGAACTAGAAGAGGAAATGGATTCTGTTCTGTTCTTCACTCATCACCTACCTGAAACCTCACATCTGTTTCTCACCTGCAGGTACACTAGGAGGATATGAGGCACAAATGGTTGATCTAATAGTTTGTCTAGGAATTGTTCTTCTTCTTCTTCTTCTTCTTTTTCTGACCTTAAAAAAAATACAAAACCACTGGATAATACAGAGGAGAAAACGTCGCAAGCAGTGTCGAAAGCTGAAATCTAAGTCTCCACTACACCACTAGTCTCCATTCTACAACTGTTAATGATCCAGAGGTTGGACAGCCTCTTTCCACAACACCACCAAACAGTGACTTAGATGATTTGAAGATGAATTAGAACTTTCCTGAACATCCATCCTTCAGACAACTGTAGACGTCGAACTTATCAAGATTTACAAACTGTTATAGTCTCAGGTATTTCTCTCTCTCTGATCCTGCACTGAAACGTTTTACAACCTCTTCAACTTTTCTTCAACCTGACACACTGTTCAGGTCAGATTTAAACTGCTTTGACCTTTGACACCACTAAAAACACCCTGATCTACTTTGTTAGGCTGAAACCTGATGACCTTTCCTAAACTGACCTATAACACACATTAAAATGTTTTAATACTCAAAAATGAAAATATTTAAATATTTTATACTGTTGAACAGGTGATACTTATTTTTGTACACTGATGCTGTTTTGGGACAGTTTTAATCGTATCTGTTCAGTTTCAGATCCACCAGTTTGGCTCAAATTAAGGAACACTGTGATTTTAGGAAAATTTGACACTGTGAATATCATCTTTGTGTGTGTGTTTTTAATGAGACAGTAGCATCAGAGGTCAAAGAGCACCTTGATTCAGCCATGACTGTGATGTGTGTGTTCACAGCACATTCGTCCTGCTGCCCACAGAAACTCCTGCAGTGAATTAGTAAAATAATACATAGAGCACATGATGAACAGAGGTCATACATGTCTGACTCCACAGTTGCTGAAGTGGATTCTGGGTCTCTGACTTCCTCCCACAGTTCAAAGACATTAACGGGTATTTCTTATTTATCCGTGTATGCTGTGTTAATGTGTGGTTCATACAGAACTATATGGTCGGTAACACTAACATATGAGCATGAGTACATCACATTAGCACATGAAAGAACAACAGTGTGGCATTAATATTACAGCAGTGAGGACAGTTTGATGAACTGATGCTCTGTTCTCTGGTCTGACCAAAGCTTTAACTCCAAACATCTCTCCACTGTTAGAGCTTCTGCACTGTTTCAGGTTCGGTTCAAATCATGGTTCATATTTTTATGGCCTGACTGTGTGAAGCCTCCACCTACATCACTGAACTGCTCCATCCTGCTCGACTTGTGTACTCTGAACTCAGTGGCCTTCTTTAAACAGCTTCTTGGTGTTTGAGTTGTTTTGCTCAATTCATGTGTATCCACTGTAACATTATAAACACTATTTTTATGTCTCTGTAAATAAATGTTTCTTTTTTTTTTCATTTTAACAGTTATTCATTATCAGCAAAAGCATAAAAAAATAACAAAGCAGACAAACAAAAGAGAAAAAAAAACCCCAAAGGAAATACATTAAAGTCATTATATACCTGTGCAAATGCACATATGGGGGGAATAACATTAAACAATTCCCTGTACCAAAAAAGTCACAGGGAGGTTTTTTGCTTAACCCAGTTAATGAGAATACATTTCCTAGCTTACAGAAATAGTTTATCACAGTTTAATGTTAATTCTTTTGAGGGTAGGCCGAGAAGAAAATATCCGTGGTCCCTTTGGATCCAATTCTTAAAAATATTACTTAGTTCTTGAGATATGGAACTCTTTTGATTAGTTTGCATTCCCAAAAGTACGGAGCCCCGCA